GAAGATACAATTTCACACACCTCAGACAGTAACGTCAGTCACTGAAGCACGTTCTCAATCCAGGGCAAACATGGCAACATTTAGAGGATTCACGTGTGTGAGCAACACTGTTTCAATGACTGTGGTAATGTGCAATGGTAAGTTTATTAATGAATTTCCGGTTTCATTCATTGGAAACTTTCTGAAAAATTCTTAGTTTGAAATTTTCTATCTTGGTGTCACCCTGAAGATATTTTTTTCCATTGGAAAGATTGAGTTAAGTCCATCCAGGCATATTTGAAGTACAGGACTGAGCGAAAACACTTTTTCCATTTCAAAGACAAGCTGTTTTTTTTTTTTTTTTGAGACGGAGTCTCACTCTCTTTCCCGGGTTAGAGTGCCGTGGCATCAGCCTAGCTCACAGCAACCTCAAACTCCTGGGCTCAAGCGATCCTCCTGCCTCAGCCTCCCGAGTAGCTGGGACTACAGGCATGCGCCACCATGCCCGGATAATTTTTTCTGTTTTTAGCTCTTTGGCTAATTTCTTTCTATTTTTGGTAGAGACGGGGCCTCACTCTTGCTCAGGCTGGTCTCCAACTCCTGAGCTCAAACAATCCGCCCACCTCGGCCTCCCAGAGTGCTAGGATTACAGGCGTGAGCCACCGCGCCCGGCCAAAGACAAGCTATTTTACAAAGCTATAATTTAATGCCAGTTAAACTTTGATACATAACTATGTCAGCACTTTAAGAAGCACTAGAACTCCCAGGGACCTTTAAGAAGCATTGTTTTTCTGCAAAATTTTGAAACAAAAGTCTTTAAAATAAACTAGCCATGTGCCCTGTTTCCAGTTGCATTTTTACTACATGGTTATTAATATCAAAAAGAGCTATTAGGAATTTAATTCAATACTGTCCTTTAAAGTTTTTTTCCTCTTTCAAGAAAGTAATTAAAATTCCTATGGCAACCTGCTAAATTTGAGAAGTAGGCCTTACCATTTTCGCATCAAACAAGAGAGGCATCCCGGATAACTAGGCAGGCTGTTAAACATGTCTACGCATCAGGAGGCACCGTCTGCAGTATGGGGAAGGAAGTGCAGCCCTGAGGCTCTCCAGTTTGCATTTCTTTCTTTTTCTTTTTTTTGTGGAAAAAAAGATTTATTTTTTTCTAATTACAAAGGTAATACATAGATAATGCAGAAACCCCAGAAAATACAGAAAAGTATAAAGAAAAAGAAACTCACAGATCCATCCACAGATGACCATTTTATCATTTCACCACTTTGGTACACATGGATCCAAGTTGATTCACTGATATAATTTAATATATTTCATATATATACACACAATTTTTAACAAAAATGATGGTATTCTCTGCACACTGCTACGAAACCTATTATTTTTCACTTAGCCACAGATCATAAACATTTTTCCCTGTCAAGAAATGCTTTTCTACTGCAACATGATTTTTAATGGCCACGTAGTATTCCAGCCACAGACCTGTTCTTTAGCATCTCTACAAAAGGCTCTGCCTTGCGGAAGGCAGCTTGCTGCACAGAGACCTCACCGTGCCTCTCGGCTGTGTCTAGCTCCAGTGAGCACCGAGTACGAGATGCTCAACTCCATATCCTGCATGTCACTTCCTACTAAATCAGAGCAGGAGACTCGGGCCCTGTTTTTACTAGGCTTTAGAATGGCTTTACTGACATAGCCACAAGCTTACTGATTAATTTTCAATTAATAATAAAAATGCCCGGTGGTATTAAAAAATTAACAATTACTGACAATCTTCCACTAATGATGTGTAGCCAAAATAGCTCGTACTTATTTTCATACATATCTACTACCTAATGCTAGATTAACTGGCATACATCTTAACATCCTCGTTACTGGAACTTCTAAGGATCCTGGCACAGCACGCAAGGGTAGAAACACCAGCGGAGGAAGTACGAGACCCGGGCTCCAGTCACGGCCTTGCTTCTTACTAGGAATGTGATCTCAGATGCGTTTCCAGACCTCTGTGAGCATCCACTCCAACGGGGGCTACACTAGACGATTCATAAGGCCCCCTCTGGCTCTAACTGGCTTCAATCTAATAAAATATGACCAGCGGCAGCATGGTGAGTGAGCAACGCATAGTTAACATCCACCCCCAACTCGAGACTAAAAAGTGAACTTTAGAACATTCAAGAACACTGAAAGGGTAGCACCAGTTCTGACTTTCTGTGGGGCCTCAAGAATGTTGCAGAGGCTCACTGACCTTCAACTGTCACCTCCCACACTGTGAAATTTTGCAGCTTCCAGGTCAACAGCCTGGTCTGTAGAAACCGCCCGGGCCCCCGCTTTCTGCGTACACGTGCTCACCCCAAGTGCGTGATGCGGGCCAGGAGCAGGGAAACACAGCCCGGCGGTTTCACACTTCCGCCGTCAGTCGGCAGGAGGAGCACTAAGAGGGCTCACTGTGGCGACCAGGCCGCTGCACCTGCCTTGCTTTGCCCACGCTTGGTTACCTGCGCGGTTGAGAGCGCGGGCGGTCCGCCCTCCAGCTGCCCCGTCCTGTCAGATGTACCATCCCAGGAACACAGACGTTCCCGGGATAGCATGCTGTGCTGTCACGTGGCTTTATAGCTGGACAGTGAGAATGCAAAGCGATGCGGGGCACTTAAGGAGCTCTATAAACGTGCTAAACACACGTGTTTCCCCCGAGACCGGGGGCTGCGGATCCGCTGTTTCCACACGGCCCTTCCTCCCTGTGCCCGGCGTCGATCGCGCGGCTGACACAGCCTCTTTGCCTCCGGAAGGGCAGCGTCGCATCCGGCCGCCTTTGCTCAGTCTTCGTGCATTTCTGCAGGTTTCCTTAAAACCAATCGAAGAGCCCGCGAACACGCCCGCCAGTTCCCTTAAGGCAGCAGGGCGGCCGCCGTTTGTCCAGGCGTCCCCACCTGCCTTTGTCAGGGGTGCTCTCCGCACGCTCGTACCACTTCTCTCCTCTCAGGCCTTTGGCTCATGGTTCTCCTTCCTTCACTCCGCTTCGGGGAGAAACGCCTGGGTCTGGAGACTGTGAGGTCGCCCTGCCGCAGCCGACTCCGTGCTTCTTCCCAACGCAGAGACGCTCGAGTTCCGTGACCGTGGGCTGTCACCGCCATCGCTAATGTCACGCCACAGTGAGTTTTATATTCAACCCAATTTTCCTTCGCCTACTCCGAGTGAACACACCGTGTTTAACAAACAGGCAAGACTCAGCTGGACAGTGCGTACCTACCAATCCCGATGAAGAGTTTTGGTAAGTTTGTAACATCTGTGCCTTTCTTTAGTGTTTTGGTCGGTACGCCTGTAACCTGTAAGGGGGTGAGGGGCATCACCCACTTCTGTCTGTAAACTAGGAGCAAAAGGAGCTTTGAATTAATATTTTAAACCCTGCTCTTTTTCTCTTTCTCAGAGTCCACCCGATTTTTCTTTCCTTCACTTTCCGTGTCTGCTTGCCATCCCTATCCTCATCCTGTTCACTCTTTTTATTCACAATCTTTGCCTCCAAGCTAGCCTTATGTCATTATTGAACTAAAAATCATAACATGTAAAAAAAAAAAAAAAAAAAAAGAAATCACTGGATTTTTACGGGCGACAGTAAACAGAAAACGTAACACAGACCCCTATGCTACATTTGTTTGTGCCCCCCCCATTCCTAAATTGAAATCCTAACCCCTAATGTGATGGCATCAGGAGGTGGGGCCTCTGGGGGGGTGACTAGGCCATGAGGTCAGCAGCCCGCAACCTGGAAGACAGCCCTCGCCAGAAACCAACCATGCTGGCACCCTGATTTGGAACGTCCAGCCTCCAGAACTGTGAGAAATAGGTATCTATTTTTTATAAGCCACGCACTCCGTGGTACTTTGTTACAGCAGCCCGAATGGACTAAGACACGGGGTTAAACCTAAACTAATTCATCCAATGGTTTTTTTACTTAAAAAGTCAAGGCTATATTGGAACCTACAGTTCCCTAGAAACAACTTGAGATACACCTGAAGACACATGCTATTGACTTGTCAAAAATCCCTATCCTGCCGGGCGCAGTGGCTCACGCCCGTAATCCTTGCACTTTGGGAGGCTGAGGTGGAAGGACTGCTTGAGGCCAGGAGTTTAAGACTAGTCTGGCCAACATAGCAAGACTTCATCTCTAAAAAAATGAAAAAAGAATTAGCCGGCGTGGTGGCTTGCTACTCGGGAGGCTGAAGCAGGAGGATCGCTTGAGCCTAGGAGTTCAAGGCTGCAGTAATTGTGATCGCACCACTGCATTCCAGCCTGGACGACAGAGTGAGACTGTTTCTTAAAAGAAAAATCTCTTATGCAAACATCCTTAACTCAGACTTTCCTTCAGCGGTCACCACGTCTGTGTAATAACCTATGGCATGCGAACAGATTATCCTTAACACTCTTCCTTATAAATCAGCCCTTTCTGATAACTAAGTTATACTGATGCAAGAATCAAGTGGCACTTCCTTCAAAAGGTAACCCCAAATATCTGCGGAGACTATTCATTACCAATAATCTTAAATCTAAGAAGAGAAGGTGGTTACCAGGAGTGGGGGTGGGGGAGATGTTGGTCAAAAGGTACGAAGTTTCAGTAAGATAGGGGAATACGTTCACGAAGTCTACGTATTGTACAAAATGCTGGCTATAGTCAATAACAATGTATTTTATTCTTGAAAACTGCCGAGGGTAGATTTTGTATTCTCACCATAAAAAAATGAGGTAATGCATATGTTAATTAGCTCGATTTAGTCATTCCACAGTGTACACGTATTTCAAAACAATATGTTGTACACGGTAAACACACATATTTTTAAATCTCTCAATTAAAAATAAATTACAAAATAAAATAGAAATCAGTACAAAAATCTGGAACCCCTCCCCGCCGAGAAAATCCTGGATTCAAACACTGAATTCCCCAAGGCAGTTCCCACCGCATCAACCTCGGCAGCAGCCGGACTTCAGCCGGCTCTTGTCAGGGCGCGGGGGAGGCTCACCTGTTCCCGGGTCATCTTCTGCAGCTCGTCCTCCCAAGCTGCCTGGTCATCGTCCAGGTTGTAGGAAGCTGGTGGAGTGAGTCCGCGAAGGATCAGGGGGTCTCGGTCGTGGCAGAGGGCTGTCAGGTGTCCAATATACAACTTCAGTTTGCTTCTATTTTGGTCAAGTTCTAAGAGGGGCTGGATGATCTGAGGTGAAAGAAATAAGGAAAGTCAGGGTCGATCTGAAATGAGAAGCTCGAATATTCCTTATGCCTCCCCAGTCAAAGAAGACTGACCACAGACTAAGCTCTTCTGATCGTTACCGGAATCTTCAGGATTACAAAGGGAACACGTGCACGCGCAGTCGCGCGTCTGCGCCGTCACTCCCCGCCATTCTGGGGGACGGGAGGGAGCGCCGGCCCGGCCCGTCCACCCAGACCAGAGTGCTGTGTGCAGGCCGGGCATCGAGCACAGCACCACCTGCTTTTACAGAGACGACGCTCCTGATACAGGAAAACTCCAGCTACCTCGCAATTCTCTTTTCGCTGATTTACGAATAGGTTGGGAAAAACAGCTAGTGACAACGGGTCATCTAAAAGCCTGCACTACACACACTTCAAGCGTCCCTCCACCTCTTGGAACGGAAGGAAAGCTCTGTCTCTGGAGGAGGTGGTGTTTTCGTGGCCGAGAGATGTGGCGAGAGCACTCACTGCTGCATCCGCCCCGTCCTGGCTTCGGCCCCCACGTCCACCTGAGAGGCCGCCCAAAATGCTGCCACGCAGGGACTGACGAGTCCTGACATGACACCGACACCGCACTCACAGCCAGGGACCCTCTAAATTCCTAGTTGGAACTCTGCCTCTGTGTTTTTCTTAAATAACAGACCTGCTCTGACCGTTCCTTTCCTGTTCCCTGTGCCCTGGATGAACAGCTACTCCTCCAACCGCCCTCCGACCCCGGCCGCCGGAAGCTCGTTCGTTGACGGATGACTCCCGCGCCAGGACTTCCTCTGGCGGCTCCTGGGACGACACTTAGCCGGGTATTCGGTCGTGGGTGCTCAGGAAGAGAGTCGGGCCAGTTGTCACGTCACAGAACACGAAGCGTCAGTGCAGCACCTGCCTGACACGCGGCAGCTGCGCAGCGGCGACTCTGGGCGTGTTCGCAGGCCCGCGCGGCGGAGCTCTGAACCTGCTGCCCGGCATCGGGCCGGCGATTTTCATCACCAGGACGCCTCTGACCCAGCTAACGAGCAGGAGCTCGATAATCCTCGAGTCAACAGAAGCAGGGCCTGTATCACCTTCGACAGCAACACTGACTCCTCCTCGGCCCCCTGGGAGGGCTGCTCCAGCTACTTTCCTTTATTTCTTTTTAAGAGTTTTAAAAATGAATAAAGTTTTATGTTTTTTATTATGAACAATATATATTTTACTCTGAAAAATCTGGGAAAAGAACGGTATAAAGAAAACAATAAAATCGCATCCACTTGTATAGTATTCCATCAAGAAGTGATCATTTGCAACATTTTGGTGATTTTCTGCCAAGTCTTTTTATAAACTTAAATCAATGTTAACGGTTTCGTACCTCGCCATTTTGCTTCATACACTGTTTATCTATTTGACATTATATTGTGCGTACTGCCCATGACATTATGTATTACTGCAAAGTATTTTTTTAATGGTTGCATAAAAATATAGCTCATTTCCTTTGTTTCTAATACTATTTCCAGGAAATAATTAAAAGAAAGTGAAGAGCCAGGGCTTAGTGGCTAAAACGATCCTTAGCTTACTAAAAATGTCAGAGTTCTGAGTTTAGACCACACAGTATAATATGACAGAGAAGCTGGAGCCTGGCTAGACAGACCAGAGAAAGCGAATCAATTTAGAATTATTTTTATTTGTTTAAACACTCCATTCTATGAGGATAAGGGTTCAACACTAAAGTGGTGCTGTGGAAGGCTCCTGGGCTCTGTCAGTGGCCCCTGATCAGCAGGCTCCCGGTACCGGTTCTGTGCTGGAATTTCTTACCTCTGACGGGCAAATCAGCACAGCCAGACACAGATGGAAAAGAGTGTTTCAATCAAGCAGAGGATCTGGAGAGTGGGGAAGTTGGATAGTTTTTACAAACACCACCAACCTCTCAAAAAGAACTGTATTTTATTTCTGACCACAAATGCATACTCACTGTAGAAAGTTCAAAAAGAAATCTACAGCGCGGTCTCTGAAGGCAATTAAAAGGCAGTGTCACTTCAAATGCACGCACACTTTGCGTGCCAATGACGAAACGATTCAGTCTTGGTTCTGTCATCGCATCCTCCACGACTCCAAGTAATGCATCCCTATTTAATTCCCATGTTTTTACGCTTAGGTGTCTCTATCTTCTTTCACAGATACATTGGTAAAAAAAAAATCCCTTTTGGGATTTTCACTGGGTTTGTGAAATTTATTCCCACTCCCTGTGTGTGTGTGTGTGTGTGTGTAGAGGTGCCGTCACGAAAAAAGCCACATCTGGGCTGCAAGGCTAAAAGAGCTGATGTCTTAAGTGACTGCCGTTTTGCATCGCCAAGTTGGCATAAAAAAGTATGACCACTGAAAAACGGGACGATGAGATAAATGGTCATAGTGGAACGCTGTTTGGAAGATTCAAAGGCGTTTGTAGTAAGATGGGATTTAGGGTACTAGCTCACTACCATGGCTATCACTGAGGATGCTGACTTTTAAGGGTTCTTGTTCTCCATCAAAAATGAACCTCAAACTGATTTAAGTGCATTTCATACTTAAGTGCTAACTGATTAAATATACAACATGATAGTGTTTTTGGACTCTGAAATTTTTCAAAGCCCAACTGAAAACTTATAAAATAACGGCATTTGAAATTTTTTCCAGGATAAAAACTCATTCTACAAAGAAAAGATAAACATTCTAAGTGATAGATATCTCAATTACTTAGATTTGATCGTTACACATTGTATAAAGTTATCAAAACATCACATGCACCCCCAAAATATGTAAACTA